GTACATTGTGGTCATAAAGGGATGGACATGGTCAGCAACAATACTCAGGTAGGCTGTGGCGTTGCAACGATGCTCATTTGGTACCAAGGGGCCCAAAGAGTGCCAAGAAAATATTCCCCACACCATGACACCACCACCACCAGCCTGAACCGTTGATACAAGGCAGGATGTTTTCATGTTGTAGACGCCAAATTCTGACCCTACCATCCGAATGTCGCAGCAGAAATCGAGACTCATCAGACCAGGCAACGTTTTTCCAATCTTCTATTGTCCAATTTCGATGAGCTTGTGCAAATTGTAGCCTCAGTTTCCTGTTCTTAGCTGAAAGGAGTGGCACCCAGTGTGGTCTTCTGCTGCTGTAGCCCATCTGCCTCAAAGTTGGACGTACTGTGCGTTCAGAGATGCTCTTCTGCCCACCTTGGTTGTAACGGGTGGTTATTTGAGTCACTGTTGCCCTTCTATCAGCTCCAACCAGTCTGGCCATTCTCCTCTGACCTCTGGCATCAACAAGGCATTTCCGCCCACAGAACTGCCGCTCACTGGATGTTTTTTCTTTTTCGGACCATTCTCTGTAAACCCTAGAGATGGTTGTGCGTGAAAATCCCAGTAGATCAGCAGTTTCTGAAATACTCAGACCAGCCCTTCTGGCACCAACAATCATGCCACGTTCAAAGTCACTCAAATCACCTTTCTTCCCCATACTGATGCTCGCTTTGAACTGCAGGAGATTGTCTTGACCATGTCTACATGCCTAAATGCACTGAGTTTCCGCCATGTGATCGACTGCTTAGAAATTAAGTGTTAACGAGCAGTTGGACAGATGTACCTAATAAAGCGGCCGGTGAGTGTACGATCCTTATTGTGAGGTAATCAGCCTTGTTCTGCCTGGGCAGCGTTCGTTTCTCCTTACTTACAGTAATGGAAACTAGTCAGAGTAAAAAAACAAATTACAGAAACTTTGGTTAAACAGTAACATGTTATAAATAAACCTTGAGAAAGAATCTGGTTTGTTATGGGAAGAAGTACGTCTTCTCTACAAACACCCCTCACTCAGGCATTGTGTGGCCTTGCAGGTTAAACAAACTGAGTGAAAAACTTTTATAGTGAGTAAATAGCATACAGTTAATCAATATATGGAATAAGATAAATCTAAATTTTCCAATCGCACACAGGAATGGCCACACAGTTCAGGAAGGAGACGGGTTCTGTGTCCCACAGATGGACAGGTTGTGGTAGGAAACGAGTGAATCAACCCCAGGAGGAAGGAATCCCTCCAGAAACAACAGAAAAAAAGTGTTTTACTGCAGGAGGGACTGAAGCACTACACAAAATAGGGCGAAAAAACTTTGAAGAAAAACCAGGAAATGAAAGCTTGGTCACTAATGGGTCATCCAAATGGACGAAGACCCCAAAACAGGGATCATCCACACGGATGAAAGGGGCCCTCAAGGGGACCCTCTTCTGAAAAGAGCACAACTCACTAGTGGGTTAAGTTTGAATTTTTACTTTGGTCTTTCACTTTTTTTTTTTTTTTTTTATCAAAACAGAAAATGAAAATCTAAAAAAAAAAATTGAAATTAAAGGAAACATTAATACTATGATTCATGTATAACATTTAGGAGAATGGCGACCCCTCCAGTTCATAGGTCAGCATTGGTAGCCAATGCCTCACTGCTAATATTAGGGGTGGAACGGTTCAGTTCACGGTTTTCGGTTCGGTATATGTTGATTGTTAGCCTGACATGTTAGTCGTGTTGCACAATGCTTGCACACTGTTGCACTTTTATCCCCAACTTTCTTTCCGCCGTCATCGTAGGTCACTCTAAATGCAAAGCGGTCCCATACAGCAGACCTATAAAGTGCTGCTGGCGCGTCTTCCAACTCCTGTTCTTTCCCACTCGCCATACCCACACAATTCTCCACAACAACTGATTTTTTTCCCCTGCTACACACGCTAAGCTGCTTCGCTTCTTCTTCTTCTTGTTTACTACTGGTGGTTGGCTTTGGTCGCAGTACCGCCACCTTCTGCTCTGGAGTGGAAACGCTTCGCCTATGAGAAAAAGGAGCAGCGCATGAACCGAACGCAACACACGCGAACCGAACCGAGACAGTCGAACCGAATGGTTCAGACGGTTTTCATAAACCGTTCCATCCCTAGTCAATATAGTAGCTCCAAGCCTTAAAAGGTTTGGTGGCCTCTGTCCTAAAGAGAAAACCAGATGAGCTACACACTGGCTGAAATACGACAAAGTTAACATTACAGAGTCACCTTTAGTTTCATAGAGATCAGGGGTGAGAAGGTGGGAGAGCAAAGCGGCCTCCAAATACGACCCAGCGCTTACGTCAGGAGGAATGGGTCAAAATTACAGCAAACTAATCCGACAAGCAGATGGAAGGAAAGCCAAAACATTCAGACAAACTTAATAACAAAAAAGCTTTGGAAATCTGACTTTAGGAGCTAAAATATAGGAGAAGCAGCCATTATTTCCATTTAGAGGGGAGAATATAAACACCAACATCGTGTCCCTTTAAGGCCACGAAGCCAAAGGTTAATTCCAAAGCTATAAGGTGAGAGCAGTAGAGGTTCAATGAATGGCTAAAACTGAAGCTGCAGGATACATAAACACTGGAAGTTAGCATGTTCAACAAGAGCTCATGCATTGGCGTCAGGTTAGCATGACATAGAATAGTATGTGGACCTGGACAGCATGGATATGAAAATATAGGTGTATATTTATTAGCAATGACTTCAGGAAAACCTTGTTTCTAAGTGATTTACTTGGAAAATCCAGATGTTTTCTCTTCGATTTTTCTGTTGGAACTATTTTTGGTTCCTAAATGTTTTTTGGCAAAACAAACTGTTTTCAAACAATGATTTATTTATGGGATGAAGAGTGTTGGCCAAGTGCTGCTCCCCGAGTGCTGCACAATGGCAGCCCACCGCTCCCCAATGGGATGGGTTAAATGCAGAGTTTATTTCTTCCCATAAAAGAAGAAAACTCCAAACCAAACCAGATCGATGTCTATACGCCATCAGACCAGCATACCTTTAGTCAATACAGACTCACAAGACGTCAGATTTGTGTTTATCCCTTTAGTTTTGAATGAAAAATAGACTTTAAAATCCTCAACGGGCGTGTATCCCTTTTAGTGATGTACAAAAAAAATGTAAGGTCAGATTGCCATACACTTAAAAAAAAACACCAAAAAGTAAATAATTAAACTTATTTTTGTACATGACTAAAGGGATAAATGGGTATTGACTATGGGTATTTTGTTGAGTTTTTACGGCACTAGTGGCTCGTCGACAGTAGGCTGAAAGGAAAGCAGGCAAAGGACTACAGACTGGATTCGAACCCGGGTCGGCCGCGTCAAGGACTAAGGAAAATTCCGGTCAGCAAGGAATAATCAATGGATCTCTGCCATAACTAAAACTTACATGTTTGTTTGATTTAATGAAATTAGCGTTAATCAGTAGAAAAATTAAAATATTTCTCCTTGCAGTCACTGAGTCTGGGAGCGGCCATTTTTGCCCAAATATAGTAGCCCCTCCCTCCTGCCATCTTCCAGCAGTGACGTCACGGGGCGGTAAGCCTAGCGCCATTCTCCCCGCTTTACAAGCTAAATCAATGGGAACTACTAGACACATCTGCAATCAACAACAATTATTGAAGATTTCCAGAGGAAGATTTCCACGTAATATGTAGCCAATATTTGGAAGAAGAAATTTTCAAGATGAAGGAAATGTGGGGCCCTAGGCAAAGACAGGCAGGGGGCCCTCTTAGTAGAGAAGACAACAAATAAAACAGCCCCATTCTCCAGATAGAGAAATGTTAATAGAATAGACATCCATTATCTGTTCTAGGTTGTGTCCCTCTCTTCTTGTCCCTTTTCTTCTTGTTTTCCTCTCTATGTTTTATACTCAGCTGACTTTTCATGCTGTCTCTAAAGGAATGAAAGATTTTTTCCAAGCACTAAGCTCACTTAGCTGATTGCTCCTTCCTGTGTTTCCAAAAAGGCCAAAGTAAATAACCCAGTCCTTCTTTTCACTGTAGACAAGCCATGATCTGCTTATCTGTTCTCCATTTTTCATTTGGATGAAATAATAGCTGCATGAATCATGACAGCAGACAAGATAGAGGAGAGCAGGAGGCGGGGTTACCAATCTACTCGCTCTGGAGAGCAGAGTTCGCTGCTTTTAGATGTTGTCTCCAAAGTCTCCAGTAGCAGAAAAAAGTCTCTAGATTTGGCGCTAGGAGCTTTTTAGAAATCAAAGTGCTAGAGGGGTCTGAAAAGTGGCTAAATATAGCGACTAAAGCGCTAAGTTGGCAACACTGCTCTTTGCATGGTTTGTTTTCAAATGGTTTGCTGCTGTCTGTTTGGACCTTTCTGAACATGTGCAGCAAATGGACTGATCCAATATGGTGGACACTGAAGGGGGGGGGCTGAGACACATTCACACTTATCAGCGTTCTGATTTCATAATTAATGTGCACAAATAAGGAATAGTTGTATTAAACATACATATAAACAGAGTTTTATGGGGCCCCCAGAAACTTGGAGCCCTAGTACTGCCTAATGGTAAATCCGCCCCTGTGACTTGGAAAATAGCGCGTTGTGACAAACACCAGATACAGCACTGGGACTTGATCAACAGCCGATACCGCACCGTGACGTCACTAACCAGTAGGTGGCAGTAGTGTTCTTTGACAAACATGGATGCCTCCAGTAAAGCACATTCACATGAAAATTACTCTGAATTAAAAACACTGATCATTTATTGAACAGGATGGAATCATTTCAGATTTAAAGAACTTTCAGAAGTTTGAATACTGAATATTAACGGACTTTTCCTTTAAAGGAACATTCCTAAAGATGAAGCTTTATTCTCTATTTCACTAAAAGTGGAAGCCTAAAGCGGCTGTAAGCGTGGAGTGGGTTTCTCCCACGCAGCCGTGGGTTCGGCTGGATGAAACTGTCGGTAGAGCTCGTGGACTCACCGAGCTTCATGAGGAGGGCCAGCAGGATCCAGAGGGAGATCTCAAAGGGCTTCCTGACCTCCTCATAGTTAAAGGCGAGGACGGGGAAAGCTTTCCTCGGACCCGTGGAGTTCGCTCCGTGATGGTCCTCCACGCTGCGTGGGTTCTCTTCTGTCCACGGCTCGTCGTTTCCTGTGAGGACATCTCTGCTCCAGGAGGAACCGGCGAGGAGCAGAAGCGCCAGGAGGACGGTGATGGAGCCCCGCCGGAGCGGAGCGGCTCCTGGAGCTGCCATGTTCCTGTGGTTCGGAGAGAGGAGGAGGAAGAGGAGCAGACTTTAGGCAGAAACTCTGCGCTCATATTCCAAATGCGCACACCTGCAGAGGAGCACAAGGAGGAGCCTGCAGGGAACAGATGAGCTCCTCATCCTCAGACACGAGCCCCCTGTCACGCGCTCACACTGAGGCAGAAGCAGCTGCGCAGTT